ACGTATGTCTGAACTCTTCAGTTGGCTACAAGCCAAGCGAAAACTGAAACCTGAGGTAAAGACTGCAGTCGAGACATCACCAAAAACCACCTCCACCGTCTAGCAAAGACAGAACATTACAAGCGGCTTCCAATGTAGAAATTAGCTGCTTCCAGCATCCATGTCATCAAGCAAATACACTGTTCAATATTACACCATCCACACACGTTTCGCCTGCCAACCACGGTGTTGCTAGATTGATCACATTATTGACGCCTGTTGATAAAATTGATGCTCCTTGTCCTATCAACCAATCTCAAACAACGCAAGCAATCATATAGAGGAAAAATTATCAGCGCTCGTCAAATGAATCTTCAATAAGGTCAGTTGGGAATATGTATGACGAATATTTGCAGGGCTCCTGAGATGTGAGTGCTCGCAGTGCTCCCTGGATGTATGTGCGCGCAGGGCTCCTGAGATGTGAGTGCTCGCAGGGCTCCCTAGGTGTGAGTGCTCGTAGGGCTCCCTAGGTGTTTGTGCTCGCAGGGCTCCTGAGGTGTAAGTGCTCGCAGGTCTCCTGAGGGCTAGTGCTCGCAGGGCTCCTGAGGGGTGAGATCTCGCATGGCACCTGAGGTGTGAGTGCATGCAGGGCACCTTAAGTTTGAGCGCGCGCTGTGCGTCTAGCAATCGACAGACCGTTCACCGCCTCCACAGGACTGCTCGCGGCCTCCCTAGGACTGCTCGCGGCCTCCCTTGGACTGTTTGCCGTCGCTATTGCACAGCTCGCCATCCAATATTGTTGTAGCCCAGCTCTTGAGGGGTTAGTGCTCGCAGGGCTCCTGAGGTGTGAGTGCACGCAGGGCGCATGAGGTATAAGTGCACGCAGGGTTCCTGAAGTGTGAGTGCGTGCTGTGCCTCTGGCAATTGACAGACCGTTCGCCGCCTCCCCAGGACTGCTCGCAGCCATCTTGGACTGCTCGCGGCCTCCCTAGGACTTTTTGCCTTCACTATTGCACAGTTCGCCGTTCCATATGGTGGTAGCATATCTGGCGGCCGACTGACGGCTCCACCTCCAACAGACTGTTGTATTTTATTTTTTTTTTATCCACAGCTTTTAACCTCTTGAACCTCCAATAGCATCGTATGAAGCATAGGCAGCTTTTTCAGTGATGGACCACCCCGCTAGAGAGGGTTTAAAATGGTGAGATTTAAACTTTATAAATACGCTCTGTATATACTAGTTTAAAATTTATTTGTCCTTCGGAAATAAAAACAAACAATTTAGCTGAAGATTTAAAGAATGAGAATTTTAAAGTTTCATGAATAAAAATAGTGCTTTACATTTTTAAAATTAAAAGTCTAAGTCGATTGATTTTTTACTAATTATTTTACTTTTTAAATAGTTTAATAAAGATGGGTTACTATTGTGTAAAATTTCTGTTAGTTGGGTTTAAGCTACTTTGGTTCTGTTGTTTTGGTATAGTAACGTTCTGTTATTTGGTAACATTTAGGTCAGTCAAAATAATTTTTACTTATTTAAATGTGACTGCTATATTCCTTTTCCTTTTGAATTTTAGATATATACATCTTCATTGTCTAATCAAGTCACAGCAATGGCTGAGCTGGTGTAGGATGAATTTTCAAATGCAAGACTTTCCTATACAGCAAGATAAAACAGATTGTACTTAGAAGGTATGTATATTGTAGCGTTTTCAACAAACGTAGTGTTTTCTCTCAAATGGTGAAGTCAAGTCGCCAGGAACCATCCTTGCGACTTGACTTCACCATTTGCTGTAAACCGTTCAAGTAATGAAGAAATCAGGAACCATCCTTATTTCTTCATTACTTGAGCAGTTTACAGCAAATACTTGGAGAGTGAGTTGTCTGCCTTGGAGATCGCGTTTGGTTAACATTTTTCTCTCTTATTAGTTTCACTCTTCTATAAGTTTTTTAATTCCCCAGTGTCAAATGATAGTGTAACGTCCCCAAGTGATTATTCCTTCTCCGGCCTGTCAGTCACATTCCCCAGTACGTTCCAGATAATTCTAAGCTAAATCTTTACACGAAACTCCCTTTACAATGGTGTACATTAAATTACATTGTGTTGACCAATAGACTCTAGTACAGATCTTATTATGTATTGTAAGTGGTTGTTTAAACAATCAAATATCTCACTACATTATTTTCAATTGCTCATCATAAGTACCTTTTACTTAGAATGGCTAAGTTTAGGTTGTGAGTTGGTGAATGTGCAACGTCTTAACATTTTTATTGAGTGTTGTGCTAAATTCGATTTAAACACAGTTTCTGAACAAGCAAAAACGTGTGCATCTGTTTAAGTGGACACATGTTGATGCAATAAAAACGAGTTCTATTGACTAAAACCTTAACAGATTGACTATTTACAAACGGAATGCAATCAGAAGCTTTAGATCATGTTTTGAGATACAATGACAACATGTATTCTACTTTTCAGATGCCACCAAAGAAATTAACCATTGCTGGAAGAGAAAACTGTGCACCCTAAAATAAATGGCAGTTAAAAGAAAAAGTGAAGCATTGGATGAAATTGTCTCCAGATTAGAGAAGGGACATTCCAAATATTCCAATAGATTTAAGAACCCAAAAATCACATGACTTTCAGAAAGAAAGAACAAAGTTCTCTCAGTGTTTAAGGAAAGATGCGATAAAATGGATGCATGACTCAAGAATAAGACTGTTACAAACATCAATTTTCAATTTGAATGTCTCAAATGTCAGCTCTCAAAAATATGATTATCACAAACATCATCTCTAAAATCTGAGAAGTCCAGCATCCTTGTCATAGAGCAAATAAACTGTTCAATATTACACCATCCACACACGTTTCGCCTGCCAACCACGATGTTGCTAGATTGATCACATTATTGACGCCTGTTGATAAAATTGATGCTCCTGGACCTATCAACCAATCTCAAACAACGCAAGCGATCATATAGAGGAAAAATGATCATCGCTCGTCAAATGAATCTTCAATAAGGTCAGTTGGGAATATGTATGACGAATGTTTGCAGGGCGCCTGAGGTGTAACTGCGCGCAGGGCTCCTGAGGTATGAGTGCTAGCAGGGCTCATGAGAAGTGAGTGTTCGCAGTGCTCCCTAGATGTAAGTGCTCGCAGGGCTCCTGAGGTGTTAGTGCTCGCAGGTCTCCTGAGGGTTAGTGCTCGCAGGGCTCCCGAGGGGTGAGATCTCGCATGGCACCTGAGGTGTGAGTGCATGCAGGGCACCTTAAGTGTGAGTGCGCGCTGTGCGTCTAGCAATCGACAGACCGCTCGCCGCCTCCACAGGACTGCTCGCGGCCTCCCCAGGACTGCTCACGGCCTCCCTTGGACTGCTCGCGGCCTCCCTAGAACTGCTCGCGGCCTCCCTAGGACTGCTCGCGGCCTCCCTAGGACTGCTCGCGGCCTCCCTAGGACTGCTCGCGGCCTCCCTTGGACTGCTCGCGGCCTTCCTAGGACTGCTCGAGGCCTTCCTAGGACTGCTCGCGGCCTCCCTAGGACTGCTCGCGGCCTCCCTAGGACTGCTCGCGGCCTCCCTTGGACTGCTCGAGGCCTTCCTAGGACTGCTCGAGGCCTTCCTAGGACTGCTCGCGGCCTCCATAGGACTGTTTGCCGTACCTATTGCACGTCTCGCCGTCCCATATTGGGGTAGCCCAGCTGAGGAGGGGTTAGTGCTCGCAGGGCTCCTGAGATGTGTGTGCTCGCAGGGCTCCTGAGATGTGTGTGCTCCCTAGGTGTAAGTGCGCGCTGGGCTCCTGAAATGTGAGTGCTCGCAGGGCTCCCTAGGTGTGAGTGCTCGCAGGGCTCCCTAGGTGTGAGTGCTCGCAGGGCTCCCTAGGTGTGAGTTCTCGCAGGGCTCCTGAGGTGTAAGTGCTCGCAGGTCTCCTGAGGTGTAAGTGCTCTCAGGGCTCCTGAGGGGTGAGATCTCGCATGGCACCTGAGGTGTGAGTGCATGCAGGGCACCTTAAGTGTGAGTGCGCGCTGTGCGTCTGGAAATCGACAGACCGCTCGCGGCCTCCCTTGGACTGCTCGTGGCCTCCCTTGGACTGCTCGCGGCCTCCCTTGGACTGCTCGTGGCCTCCCTTGGACTGCTCGCGGCCTCCCTAGGACTGTTTGCCGTACCTATTGCACGTCTAGTCGTCCCATATTGGGGTAGACCAGCTGAGGAGGGGTTAGTGCTCGCAGGGCTCCTGAGATGTGTGTGCTCGCAGGGCTCCTGAGATGTGTGTGCTCGCATGTTTCCTGAGTTGTGTGCTCGCATGTTTCCTGAGATGTGTGCTCGCATGTTTCCTGAGGTGTGAGTGCTCGCAAGGCTCCTGAGGTGTGAGTGCTCGCAGGGCTCCTGAGGTGTGTGTGCTCGCAGGGCTGCTGATGTGTGAGTGCTCGCAGTGCTCCTGAGGGGTGAGTGCTCGCAGGGCTCCTGAGGTGTGAGTGCTCGCAGGTCTCCTGAGTTGTGAGTCCGCGCTGTGCGTCTGGCAATCGTCAGACCGCTCGCCGCCTCCTTAGGACTGCTCGTGGCCTCCCTAGGACTGCTCGTGGCCTCCCTAGGACTGCTCGCGGCCTCCCTAGGACTGCTCGCGGCCTCACTTGGACTGCTCGCGGCCTCCCTAGGACTGTTTGCCGTCGCTATTGCACAGCTCGCCATCCCATATTGTGGTAGCCCAGCTCTTGAGGGGTTAGTGCTCGCAGGGCTCCTGAGGTGTGAGTGCACACAGGGCGCATGAGGTATAAGTGCACGCAGGGCCCCTGAAGTGTGAGTGCGTGCTGTGCGTCTGGCAATTGACAGACCGTTCGCCGCCTCCCCAGGACTGCTCGCAGCCATCTTGGACTGCTCGCGGCCTCCCTAGGACTTTTTGCCTTCACTATTGCACAGTTCGCCGTCCCATATGGTGGTAGCATATCTGGCGGCCGACTGACGGCTCCACCTCCAACAGACTGTTGTATTTTTTTTGTTTTTTTATCCACAGCTTTTAACCTCTTGAACCTCCAATAGCATCGTATGCAAGAAGGCAGCTTTTTCAGTGATGGACCACCCCACTAGAGAGGGTTTAAAATGGTGAGATTTAATCTTTATAAATACGCTCTGTATATACTAGTTTAAAATTTATTTGTCCTTCGGAAATAAAAACAAACAATTTTGCTGAAGATCTAAAGAATGAGAATTTTAAAGCTTCATGAATAAAAATAGTGCTTTACATTTTTAAAATTAAAAGTCTAAGTCGATTGATTTTTTTACTAATTATTTTACGTTTTAAATTGTTTAATAACGATGGGTTACTATTGTGTAAAATTTCTGTTAGTTGGGTTTAAGCTACTTTGGTTCTTTTGTTTTGGTATAGTTACGTTCTGTTATTTGGTAACATTTAGGTCAGTCAAAATAATTTTTACTTATTAAAATGTGACTGCTATATTCATTTTCCTTTTGAATTTCAGATATATACATCTTCATTGTCTAATTAAGTCACAGCAATGGCTGAGCTGGTGTAGGATGAATTTTCAAATGCAAGACTTTCTTATACAGCAAGATAAAACAGATTGTACTTAGAAGGTATGTAGGCTATATTGCAGCGTTTTCAACAAACGTAGTGTTTTTTACCAAATGGTGAAGTCAAGTCGCCAGGAACCATCCTTGCGACTTGACTTCACCATTTGCTGTAAACTGTTCAAGTAATGAAGAAATCAGGAACCATCCTTATTTCTTCATTACTTGAACAGTTGACAGCAAATACTTGGAGAGTGAGTTGTCTGCCTTGGAGATCGCGTTTGGTTAACATTTTTCTCTCTTATTAGTTTCGCTCTTCTATAAGTTTTTTAATTCCCCAGTGTCAAATGATAGTGTAACGTCCCCAAGTGATTATTCCTTCTCCGGCCTGTCAGTCACATTCCCCAGTACGTTCCAGATAATTCTAGGCTAAACTTCTACACGAAACTCCCTTTACAATGGTGTACATTAAATTACATTGTGTTGACCAATAGACTCTAGTACAGATCTTATTATGTATTGTAAGTGGTTGTTTAAACAATCAAATATCTCACTACATTATTTTCAATTGCTCATCATAAGTACCTTTTACTTAGAATGGCTAAGTTTAGGTTGTGAGTTGGTGAATGTGCAACGTCTTAACATTTTTATTGAGTGTTGTGCTAAATTCGATTTAAATACTGTTTCTGCACAAACAAAAACGTGTGCATCTGTTTAAATGGACACACATTGATGCAATAACAACGAGGAGTTCTATTGACTAAAACCTTAACAGATTGACTATTTACAAAGGGAATGCAATCAGAAGCTTTAGATTATTTTTTGAGATACAATGACAACATGTATTCTACTTTTCAGATGCCACCAAAGAAATTAACCATTGTTGGAAGAGAAACTGTGCACGCTAAAACAAATGGCAGTTAAAAGAAAAAGTGAAGCATTGGATGAAATTGTCTCCAGATTAGAGAAGGGACATTCCAAATATTCCAATAGATCTAAGAACCCAGACATCACATGACTTTCAGAAAGAAAGAACAAAGTTCTCTCAGTGTTTAAGGAAAGATGCGATAAAATGGATGCATGACTCAAGAACAAGACTGTTACAAACATCAATTTTCAATTTGATTGTCACAGATGTCAGCTCTCAACAATATGACTATCACAAACATCATCTCTAAAATCTGAGAAGTCCAGCATCCTTGTCATAGAGCAAATAAACTGTTCAATATTACACCACCCACACACGTTTCGCCTGCCAACCACGATGTTGCTAGATTGATCACATTATTGACGCCTGTTGATAAAATTGATGCTCCTTGACCTATCAACCAATCTCAAACAACGCAAGCGATCATATAGAGGAAAAAATGATCATCGCTCGTCAAATGAATCTTCAATAAGGTCAGTTGGGAATATGTATGACGAATGTTTGCAGGGCGCCTGAGGTGTAACTGCGCGCAGGGCTCATGAGAAGTGAGTGTTCGCAGGGCTCCTGAGGTGTAAGTGCTCGCAGGTCTCCTGAGGGTTAGTGCTCGCAGGGCTCCCGAGGGGTGAGATCTCGCATGGCACCTGAGGTGTGAGTGCATGCAGGGCACCTTAAGTGTGAGTGCGCGCTGTGCGTCTAGCAATCGACAGACCGCTCGCCGCCTCCACAGGACTGCTCGCGGCCTCCCCAGGACTGCTCACGGCCTCCCTTGGACTACTCGCGGCCTCCCTAGAACTGCTCGCGGCCTCCCTAGGACTGCTCGCGGCCTCCCTTGGACTACTTGCGGCCTCCCTTGGACTGCTCGAGGCCTTCCTAGGACTGCTCGCGGCCTCCATAGGACTGTTTGCCGTACCTATTGCACGTCTCGCCGTCCCATATTGGGGTAGCCCAGCTGAGGAGGGGTTAGTGCTCGCAGGGCTCCTGAGATGTGTGTGCTCGCAGGGCTCCTGAGATGTGTGTGCTCGCAGGGCTCCTGAGATGTGTGTGCTCCCTAGGTGTAAGTGCGCACTGGCCTCCTGAGATGTGAGTGCTCGCAGGGCTCCCTAGGTGTGAGTGCTCGCAGGGCTCCCTAGGTGTGAGTGCTCGCAGGGCTCCTGAGGTGTAAGTGCTCGCAGGTCTCCTGAGGTGTAAGTGCTCTCAGGGCTCCTGAGGGGTGAGATCTCGCATGGCACCTGAGGTGTGAGTGCATGCAGGGCACCTTAAGTGAGTGCGCGCTGTGCGTCTGGAAATCGACAGACCGCTCGCGGCCTCCCTTGGACTGCTCGTGGCCTCCCTTGGACTGCTCGCGGCCTCCCTTGGACTGCTCGTGGCCTCCCTTGGACTGCTCGCGGCCTCCCTTGGACTGCTCGCGGCCTTCCTAGGACTGCTCGCGGCCTCCATAGGACTGTTTGCCGTACCTATTGCACGTCTAGTCGTCCCATATTGGGGTAGCCCAGCTGAGGAGGGGTTAGTGCTCGCAGGGCTCCTGAGGTGTGTGCTCGCAGGGCTCCTGAGATGTGTGTGCTCGCATGTTTCCTGAGATGTGTGCTCGCATGTTTACTGAGGTGTGAGTGCTCGCAGGGCTCCTGAGGTGTGAGTGCTCGCAGGGCTCCTGAGGTGTGTGTGCTCGCAGTGCTCCTGAGGGGTGAGTGCTCGCAGGTCTCCTGAGTTGTGAGTGCGCGCTGTGCGTCTGGCAATCGTCAGACCGCTCGCCGCCTCCTTAGGACTGCTCGTGGCCTCCCTAGGACTGCTCGCGGCCTCCCTAGGACTGCTCGTGGCCTCCCTTGGACTGCTCGCGGCCTCCCTAGGACTGCTCGCGGCCTCCCTTGGACTGCTCGTGGCCTCCCTTGGACTGCTCGCGGCCTCCCTAGGACTGCTCGCGGCCTCACTTGGACTGCTCGCGGCCTCCCTAGGACTGCTCGCGGCCTCCCTAGGACTGCTCGCGGCCTCCCTAGGACTGCTCGCGGCCTCACTTGGACTGCTCGCGGCCTCACTTGGACTGCTCGCGGCCTCACTTGGACTGCTCGCGGCCTCCCTAGGACTGTTTGCCGTCGCTATTGCACAGCTCGCCATCCCATATTGTGGTAGCCCAGCTCTTGAGGGGTTAGTGCTCGCAGGGCTCCTGAGGTGTGAGTGCACACAGGGCGCATGAGGTATAAGTGCACGCAGGGCCCCTGAAGTGTGAGTGCGTGCTGTGCGTCTGGCAATTGACAGACCGTTCGCCGCCTCCCCAGGACTGCTCGCAGCCATCTTGGACTGCTCGCGGCCTCCCTAGGACTGCTCGCGGCCTCCCTAGGACTGCTCGCGGCCTCCCTTGGACTGCTCGCGGCCTCCCTTGGACTGCTCGCGGCCTCCCTAGGACTACTCGCGGCCTCCCTAGGACTTTTTGCCTTCACTATTGCACAGTTCGCCGTCCCATATGGTGGTAGCACATCTGGCGGCCGACTGACGGCTCCACCTCCAACAGACTGTTGTATTTTTTTTGTTTTTTTATCCACAGCTTTTAACCTCTTGAACCTCCAATAGCATCGTATGCAAGAAGGCAGCTTTTTCAGTGATGGACCACCCCACTAGAGAGGGTTTAAAATGGTGAGATTTAATCTTTATAAATACGCTCTGTATATACTAGTTTAAAATTTATTTGTCCTTCGGAAATAAAAACAAACAATTTAGCTGAAGATTTAAAGAATGAGAATTTTAAAGCTTCATGAATAAAAATAGTGCTTTACATTTTTAAAATTAAAAGTCTAAGTCGATTGATTGTTTTACTAATTATTTTACATTTTTTAAATAGTTTAATAAAGATGGGTTACTATTGTGTAAAATTTCTGTTAGTTGGGTTTAAGCTACTTTGGTTCTTTTTTTTGGTATAGTTACGTTCTGTTATTTGGTAACATTTAGGTCAGTCAAAATAATTTTTACTTATTAAAATGTGACTGCTATATTCATTTTCCTTTTGAATTTCAGATATATACATCTTCATTGTCTAATTAAGTCACAGCAATGGCTGAACTGGTGTAGGATGAATTTTCAAATGCAAGACTTTCTTATACAGCAAGATAAAACAGATTGTACTTGGAAGGTATGTAGGCTATATTGCAGCGTTTTCAACAAACGTAGTGTTTTCTACCAAATGGTGAAGTCAAGTCGCCAGGAACCATCCTTGCGACTTGACTTCACCATTTGCTGTAAACTGTTCAAGTAATGAAGAAATCTGGAACCATCCTTATTTCTTCATTACTTGAACAGTTGACAGCAAATACTTGGAGAGTGAGTTGTCTGCCTTGGAGATCGCGTTTGGTTAACATTTTTCTCTCTTATTAGTTTCACTCTTCTATAAGTTTTTTTAATTCCCCAGTGTCAAATGACAGTGTAACGTCCCCAAGTGATTATTCCTTCTCCGGCCTGTCAGTCACATTCCCCAGTACGTTCCAGATAATTCTAGGCTAAATCTTTACACGAAACTCCCTTTGCAATGGTGTACATTAAATTACATTGTGTTGACCAATAGACTCTAGTACAGATCTTATTATGTATTGTAAGTGGTTGTTTAAACAATCAAATATCTCACTACATTATTTTCAATTGCTCATCATAAGTACCTTTTATTTAGAATGGCTAATTTTAGGTTGTGAGTTGGTGAATGTGCAACGTCTTAACATTTTTATTGAGTGTTGTGCTAAATTCGATTTAAATACTGTTTCTGCACAAACAAAAACGTGTGCATCTGTTTAAATGGACACACATTGATGCAATAACAACGAGGAGTTCTAGTGACAAAAACCTTAACAGATTGACTATTTACAAACGGAATGCAATCAGAAGCTTTAGATTATTTTTTTAGATACAATGACAACATGTATTCTACTTTTCAGATGCCACCAAAGAAATTAACCATTATTTGGAAGAGAAACTGTGCACGCTAAAACAAATGGCAGTTAAAAGAAAAAGTGAAGCATTGGATGAAATTGTCTCCAGATTAGAGAAGGGACATTCCAAATATTCCAATAGATCTAAGAACCCAGACATCACATGACTTTCAGAAAGAAAGAACAAAGTTCTCTGTGTTTAAGGAAAGATGCGATAAAATGGATGCATGACTCAAGAATAAGACTGTTACAAACATCAATTTTCAATTTGATTGTCACAGATGTCAGCTCTCAACAATAGGACTATCACAAACATCATCTCTAAAATCTGAGAAGTCCAGCATCCTTGTCATAGAACAAATAAACACACGTTTCGCCTGCCAACCACGATGTTGCTAGATTGATCACATTATTGACGCCTGTTGATAAAATTGATGCTCCTTGACCTATCAACCAATCTCAAGCAACGCAAGCGATCATATAGAGGAAAAATGATCAGCGCTCGTCAAATGAATCTTCAATAAGGTCAGTTGGGAATATGTATGACGAATGTTTGCAGGGCTCCTGAGATGTGAGTGCTCGCAGTGCTCCCTAGGTGTAAGTGCGCGCTGGGCTCCTGAGGTATGAGTGCTCGCAGGGCTCCTGAGATGTGAGTGCTCGCAGGGCTCCTGAGATGTGAGTGCTCACAGGGCTCCCTAGGTGTGAGTGCTCGCAGGGCTCCCTAGGTGTGAGTGCTCGCAGGGCTCCCTAGGTGTGAATGCTCGCAGGGCTCCTGAGGTGTAAGTGCTCGCAGGCTCCTGAGGGGTGAGATCTCGCATGGCACCTGAGGTGTGAGTTGATGCAGGGCACCTTAAGTGTGAGTGCGCGCTGTGCGTCTGGCAATCGACAGACCGCTCGCCGCCTCCACAGGACTGCTCGCGGCCTCCCTTGGACTGCTCGCGGCCTCCCTTGGACTGCTCGCGGCCTCCCTTGGACTGCTCGCGGCCTCCCTAGGAATGCTCGCGGCCTCCCTTGGACTGCTCGCGGCCTCCCTAGGACTGCTCGCGGCCTCCCTAGGAATGCTCGCGGCCTCCCTAGGAATGCTGGCGGCCTCCCTAGGACTGCTCGCGGCCTCCCTAGGACTGCTCGCGGCCTCCCTTGGACTACTCGCGGCCTCTGTAGGACTGTTTGCCGCCGCTATTGCACAGCTCGCCATCCCATATTGCGGTAGCCCAGCTGTTGAGGGGTTAGTGCTCGCAGGGCTCCTGAGGTGTGAGTGCACACAGGGCGCATGAGGTATGAGTGCTCGCAGGGCGCATGAGGTATGAGTGCTCGCAGGGCTCCTGAAGTGTGAGTGCGTGCTGTGCGTCTTGCAATCGACAGACCGTTCGCCGCCTCCCTTGGACTGCTCGCGGCCTCCCTAGGACTGCTCGCGGCCTCCCTAGGACTACTCGCGGCCTCCATGGGACTGTTTGCCGTACCTATTGCACGTCTCGCCGTCCCATATTGTGGTAGCCCAGCTGATGAGGGGTTAGTGCTCGCAGGGCCACTGAGATGCGTGTGCTCGCAGGGCTCCTGAGGTGTGAGTGCTCGCAGGGCTCCTGAGGTGTGAGTGCTCGCAGGGCTCCTGAGGTGTGAGTGCTCGCAGGGCTCCTGAGGTGTGAGTGCTGGCAGGGCTCCTGAGCTGTGAGTGCTCGCAGGGCTCCTGAGGTGTGAGTGCTGGCAGGGCTCCTGAGGTGTGAGTGCTCGCAGGGCTCCTGGTGTGAGTGCTCGCAGGGCTCCTGAGGTGAGTGCTCGCAGGGCTCCTGAGGTGTGAGGGCTGGCAGGGCTCCTGAGGTGTGAGTGCTCGCAGGGCACCTAGGGAGTGAGTGCGCGCTGTGCGTCTGGCAATCGACAGACCGCTCGCCGCCTCCCTTGGACTGCTCGCGGCCTCCCTAGGACTGCTCGCGGCCTCCCTAGGACTGCTCGCGGCCTCCCTAGGACTGCTCGCGGCCTCCCTAGGACTGCTCGCGGCCTCCTTTGGACTACTCGCGGCCTCTGTAGGACTGTTTGCCGCCGCTATTGCACAGCTCGCCATCCCATATTGCGGTAGCCCAGCTGTTGAGGTGTGAGTGCACGCAGGGCGCATGAGGTATGAGTGCTCGCAGGGCTCCTGAAGTGTGAGTGCGTGCTGTGCGTCTTGCAATCGACAGACCGTTCGCCGCCTCCCTTGGACTGCTCGCGGCCTCCCTAGGACTGCTCGCGGCCTCCATGGGACTGTTTGCCGTACCTATTGCACGTCTCACCGTCCCATATTGTGGTAGCCCAGCTGATGAGGGGTTAATGCTCGCAGGGCCACTGAGATGTGTGTGCTCGCAGGGCTCCTGAGGTGTGAGTGCTGGCAGGGCTCCTGAGGTGTGAGTGCTGGCAGGGCTCCTGAGGTGTGAGTGCTGGCAGGGCTCCTGAGGTGTGAGTGCTCGCAGGGCTCCTGAGGTGTGAGTGCTCGCAGGGCTCCTGAGGTGTGAGTGCTGGCAGGGCTCCTGAGGTGTGAGTGCTGGCAGGGCTCCTGAGGTGTGAGTGCTGGCAGGGCTCCTGAGGTGTGAGTGCTCGCAGAGCTCTTGAGTGGTGAGTGCTCGCAGGGCACCTAGGGAGTGAGTGCGCGCTGTGCGTCTGGCAATCGACAGACCGCTCGCCGCCTCCGCAGGACTGCTCGCGGCCTCACTCGGACTGCTCGCGGCCTCCCTTGGACTGCTCGCGGCATCCCTTGGACTGCTCGCGGCCTCCCCACGTCTGCTCGCTGCCTCCCTAGGACTGCTCGCGGCCTCCCTAGGACTGCTCGCGGCCTCCCTAGGACTGCTCGCGGCCTCCCTAGGACTGCTCGCGGCCTCCCTAGGACTGCTCGCGGCCTCCCTAGGACTGCTCGCGGCCTCCCTAGGACTACTCGCGGCCTCTGTAGGACTGTTTGCCGCCGCTATTCCATAGCTCGCCATCCCATATTGCGGTAGCCCAGCTGTTGAGGGGTTAGTGCTCGCAGGGCTCCTGAGGTATAAGTGCACACAGGCTCCTGAAGTGTGAGTGCGTGCTGTGCGTCTTGCAATCGACAGACCGTTCGCCGCCTCCCCAGGACTGCTCGCGGCCTCCATGGGACTGTTTGCCGTACCTATTGCACGTCTCGCCGTCCCATCTTGTGGTAGCCCAGCTGATGAGGGGTTAGTGCTCGCAGGGCCACTGAGATGTGTGTGCTCGCAGGGCTCCTGAGGTGTGAGTGCTCGCAGGGCTCCTGAGGTGTGAGTGCTCGCAGGGCTCCTGATGTGTGAGTGCTCGCAGGGCTCCTGAGGTGTGAGTGCTCGCAGGGCTCCTGAGGTGTGAGTGTTCGCAGGGCTCCTGAGGTGTGAGTGTTCGCAGGGCTCCTGAGGTGTGAGTGCTCGCAGGGCTCCTGAGGTGTGAGTGTTCGCAGGGCTCCTGAGGTGTGAGTGTTCGCAGGGCTCCTGAGGTGTGAGTGCTCGCAGGGCTCCTGAGGTGTGAGTGCTCGCAGGGCTCCTGAGGTGTGAGTGCTCGCAGGGCTCCTGAGGTGTGAGTGCTCGCAGGGCTCCTGAGGTATGAGTGCTCGCAGGGCTCTTGAGTGGTGAGTGCTCGCAGGGCACCTAGGGGGTGAGTGCAAGCGGGGCGCCTGATGAGTGAGTGCGCGCTGTGCGTCTGGCAATCGACAGACCGCTCGCCGCCTCCGCAGGACTGCTCGCGGCCTCCCTTGGACTGCTCGCGGCCTCCCCACGTCTGCTCGCGGCCTCGCTAGGACTGCTCGCGCCCTCCCTAGGACTGCTCGCGCCCTCCCTAGGACTGCTCGCGGCCTCCCTAGGACTGCTCGCGGCCTCCCTAGGAATGCTCGCGGCCTCCCTAGGACTGCTCGCGGCCTCCTTTGGACTACTCGCGGCCTCTGTAGGACTGTTTGCCGCCGCTATTGCACAGCTCGCCATCCCATATTGCGGTTGCCCAGCTGTTGAGGGGTTAGTGCTCGCAGGGCTCCTGAGGTGTGAGTGCACGCAGGGCGCATGAGGTATAAGTGCACACAGGCTCCTGAAGTGTGAGTGCGTGCTGTGCGTCTTGCAATCGACAGACCGTTCGCCGCCTCCCCAGGACTGCTCGCAGCCATCTTGGACTGCTCGCGGCCTCCCTAGGACTTTTTGCCTTCACTATTGCACAGTTCGCCGTCCCATATGGTGGTAGCATATCTGGCGGCCGACTGACGGCTCCACCTCCAACAGACTGTTGTATTTTTTTTGTTTTTTTATCCACAGCTTTTAACCTCTTGAACCTCCAATAGCATCGTATGCAAGAAGGCAGCTTTTTCAGTGATGGACCACCCCACTAGAGAGGGTTTAAAATGGTGAGATTTAATCTTTATAAATACGCTCTGTATATACTAGTTTAAAATTTATTTGTCCTTCGGAAATAAAAACAAACAATTTTGCTGAAGATCTAAAGAATGAGAATTTTAAAGCTTCATGAATAAAAATAGTGCTTTACATTTTTAAAACTAAAAGTCTAAGTCGATTGATTTTTTTACTAATTATTTTACGTTTTAAATAGTTTAATAAAGATGGGTTACTATTGTGTAAAATTTCTGTTAGTTGGGTTTAAGCTACTTTGGTTCTTTTGTTTTGGTATAGTTACGTTCTGTTATTTGGTAACATTTAGGTCAGTCAAAATAATTTTTACTTATTAAAATGTGAATGCTATATTCATTTTCCTTTTGAATTTCAGATATATACATCTTCATTGTCTAATTAAGTCACAGCAATGGCTGAGCTGGTGTAGGATGAATTTTCAAATGCAAGACTTTCTTATACAACAAGATAAAACAGATTGTACTTTGAAGGTATGTATATTGTAGCGTTTTCAACAAACGTAGTGTTTTCTACCAAATGGTGAAGTCAACAGGAACCATCCTTGCGTCTTGACTTCACCATTTGCTGTAAACTGTTCAAGTAATGAAGAAATCAGGAACCATCCTTATTTCTTCATTACTTGAACAGTTGACAGCAAATACTTGGAGAGTGAGTTGTCTGCCTTGGAGATCGCGTTTGGTTAACATTTTTCTCTCTTATTAGTTTCGCTCTTCTATAAGTTTTAATTCCCCAGTGTCAAATGACAGTGTAACGTCCCCAAGTGATTATTCCTTCTCCGGCCTGTCAGTCACATTCCCCAGTACGTTTCAGATAATTCTAGGCTAAACTTCTACACGAAACTCCCTTTACAATGGTGTACATTAAATTACATTGTGTTGACCAATAGACTCTAGTACAGATCTTATTATGTATTGTAAGTGGTTGTTTAAACAATCAAATATCTCACTACATTATTTTCAATTGCTCATCATAAGTACCTTTTACTTAGAATGGCTAAGTTTAGGTTGTGAGTTGGTGAATGTGCAACGTCTTAACATTTTTATTGAGTGTTGTGCTAAATTCGATTTAAACAGTTTCTGAACAAGCAAAAACGTGTGCATCTGTTTAAATGGACACATGTTGATGCAATAAAAACGAGTTCTATTGACTAAAACCTTAACAGATTGACTATTTACAAACGGAATGCAATCAGAAGCTTTAGATCATGTTTTGAGATACAATGACAACATGTATTCTACTTTTCAGATGCCACCAAAGAAATTAACCATTGTTGGAAGAGAAACTGTGCACGCTAAAACAAATGGCAGTTAAAAGAAAAAGTGAAGCATTGGATGAAATTGTCTCCAGATTAGAGAAGGGACATTCCAAATATTCCAATAGATCTAAGAACCCAGACATCACATGACTTTCAGAAAGAAAGAACAAAGTTCTCTCAGTGTTTAAGGAAAGATGCGATAAAATGGATGCATGACTCAAGAATAAGACTGTCACAAACATCAATTTTCAATTTGACTGTCACAAATGTCGGCTCTCAATATGACTGTCACAAACATCAGCTCTAAAGTTTGAGAAGTGCATTCAGTGTGTCTGAGGTGTGTGCTGTGCGTCTGGCTATCGAAAGACTGCTCACTGCACCCCCTTTGAATGCATCTATTTCTTTAGAGTTTCTGAAATGTGAAAACGTCATTATAGGCTAAATTAAAAACCTTTATACACTTTTCTTTTACTGTTCTGCAAAAGTTAATTTTTTTAACTATTGTGTGTAGGCCTATATTTTTTTACGCAATGGATACTTAGAATTGTAGACATTAAGGCAAACTGTCTTAAATAATTTTCTTCCAAACATAAGATGTGATTGATTAAATAATTATTCTGGCCATTAAACTGTTAGTGTTTTATTTAAGCCTACATAGGCCTACCTTGTAACAAACAAAATAAAAAACATACAAAAAAAAACAAGATTTTTCAATTAGATTTTTTTTACCATTTCCTGAAGGTAATGATACAGAGGATGATTGATTAAACATGTTGTTTTAAACATTAAACATACACAAAAAGAAAGGTTTTCAATGTTTTTAATAAAATATATTGGAGCTCCAGAGTAAGTGTTAAAACTACTTTGCTTAAACTTGTACTCAGTTTGTTGTGCAACTAAGATCATTTATATAACAAACTGCAATTATCAATGTCCAATTTAAACAAGTACACTAAATATTTCTATGTGTAGGTATAGACATTTAAAAAAATACTACAGTTTTTAGACATCTGTTTAAATCTGTTCTGAATATTTTCAATTCACATTTATCGAATACAAGTTAATGCAAATTTTGTCACAGGGAAAATAAATCATTAGAACACTATTGGGCTGTGTGTAGTGAGCTGAGATAGAAGAAATGTTGACGCTATCATCTACTTTTAGTGTTATCACTATCATTCTCATGTTGCAGGGGCAAGCAGCAAGATGTAATGGGGCAAATTTTCATGCACTAAGCCAGACACAATAAAATTTCATGTGGGGAAGATAACTCTGGTTGTGTCAGGTAAAATTCCATTTTGAGAACAAATTACGGCCGACACTTCCAGCATCAGTTGTTCTAATAGAGAATAATAAAACCAGCTAGATCCAACCTTATGGAAGGTTAATTAAATCTAGACTGATTTCATTTGGAGGATTACATTTTCAGTTTTCTTTTAAAAAGTTTTGGAAAACATGAGGGTAATATTAAAACACATTACAATACAAGGCACATCTCATTACTTAGTGAACTTGTTATCAAATACTTGTGTTTAAACAATAAGAAATGTAGTGATTACAAATGTTACAAAGTGGTCAGTGTTTGCATAGTTAGAAAGATGATCTCAAATTTCTACATTTTTCACTTGGTGTGCAACCACATTTTTTTTAAACCTTTATTTACAAACCAATTTATAATTATAGCCATTAGGCAGATGTTACAAAATCCTGAGAAACACCACAAATTATAAAACAAATTCAACAAGAGGAACGAGTCATAAAAATAATTGATAAAATAATAAACTGTTCAGATTAAAATGCAAATGTTTGTATATATTTACATCTTAGTATAGTTATTGGTCTTTAAAATTTTTCTTTTAAAAACTCTAATGACAGTTGAAAGAGCTGATTATTTTTTTTACAGATGGCAGTGATAGTTAATGTTAACATCTCCAGACATATGATGATAAAATCTATCATGAAAATGTATCAGGGAAATGGAAGTAGTTGGAATGACACACAAATAAATCAATAAATTTACTGAGTCAGAGGGTAATATTGGACAATATTTGGAGAAAAAGTTACCTCTAAGCACAATTTTCCCAATGGTAAATAATTTGGTTAAGTTTTACAACAAACACATTATGCTGGAAAAAAGATTGGTTGCATTCATGGTATTTGAAATGTGTGAGTTAAACTGGAAACACAGACCAAGGCTAGAATAAAATCATTTTAGCTGAAGGCACAAAGACAATTTGGCAGCACATTACTTGCTACAGAAAACCAAAATTAGAACTTTACTGAACACTAGACAATGCACACATTACATGGCCCTGATGTGTGGAGTGAAACAGTGGTTGCACCTGATAGAGGTGTAGTGTACAAATTACCTGAATTTCACATAGGAAAAAAAACACTGGAAATTAAAATATATGACATAAAAAAAATATCTTCCAAGGGCAAACATCAGATGAGGATAAAACAAACCTTATAAAATCTGTCCATAAAAATAATCGAGTATATAAATCTGTAATAAATCAAATCCAGTAGATCTCACAACATAGACCGGGTAAGGAATGTAAAAATAGAAATTTCAACATATCACTGATAGCATATCACTATTTATCTCTTTAAACACACCACTTTCACATGAATAACACTGAGCTCCTATCAAAAACTTCCAGTAAAAACCACAAAATTTTTATGGAAACATAAATGCAAAATGAAAAGGCCAAAGAAACAATTTGATATGGAACCAACATAACAGTAAAATCACAGCATCAGTCTATGACAATGTCAGGATAAAATTACACTGATCGCTGGTTCAATAGCTACTTTTCCTCCAATAAACTATTAACAGTTTAACAAAAATGTTGAATATCTATGCTGATTATATAAGCATTTTTCATGACACAATTAACATCAACACTACTGTGTTATTAAACAACCAATTCAAACAAAAACTAAATATAATTTTAAATTACAAAATAAATTGTGACAGTAGTTGAGTATAGTGTATATATCCATCAGTATATATTTAAATGCCGGAAATTAAACCAATGAAACCTCTCCCAGTTCTGAGTTACTGAATACAATCAGACTGTCATTCACTTTGGCCCCAGCATTTCCTCAGGCCTGACCCACAGAGCAAAGTTCTCTGCCGTCACAAGCTTAAGTTTAATGGCGGCCTCCTTCAGAGTTGTCCCCTCCTTGTGAGCCAGCTTGGCTATCCTAGCAGCATTGTCGTAGCCGATGTATGGGTTCAGGGCTGTGACCAGCATCAGGGACTCGTCCCTTATCTGCCTGATCCTGTCTGTGTTTGCCTGGATGCCCTGGACGCAGTTCCTGGTGAATGAAACGCAGGAGTCCGCAAGAAGTCGAACTGATCTCAGGACATTGCTGACTATAAGAGGTTTAAAGACATTCAGCTCAAAATGGCCAGAGCTTCCCCCTATGGACACGGCTGTCTGGTTTCCCATCACCTGGGCTGCTACCATTGTTAGAGCTTCACACTGTGTGGGGTTTACTTTTCCTGGAGGATGAACAGGGATAAAGATTATTTTATCTTGCTAGAGGATGAACAGATATAAAGATTATTTTATCTTGGCTGGAGGATGAACAGATATAAAGATTATTTTATCTTGCTGGAGGATGAACAGATATAAAGATTATTTTATCTTGCTGGAGGATGAACAGATATAAAGATTATTTTATCTTGCTGGAGGATGAACAGATATAAAGATTATTTTATCTTGCTGGAGGATGAACAGGGATAAAGATTATTTTATCTTGGCTGGAGGATGAACAGATAGAAAGATTATTTTTATCATGCTGAAGGATGAACAGGGAGAAAGATTATTTTATCTTGGGGAGAAAAAAAGCAATTTAAAAAACTAAGTCTACAACCTGTGAAAATGAGTACACAAAGGTTTCTGATTGTTTGACATACCTGGCATGATGCTGCTACCTGGCTCATTCTCAGGCAGACTCAGCTCACCCAAACCACACCGTGGCCCAGAGCCCAAGAGCCTGATGTCATTGCCAATCTTCATCAGGCTACAGGCTAGGACATTCAGGGCCCCATGGAGCTCAACCAAGGCATCATGGGCAGCCAGGGCCTCAAACTTGTTGGCAGCAGAGACAAAAGGAAGACCTGGTGGAAATGTAACAACAGTTGGTATACACAGACTCCATGAGTGTTTTATGACAAACAATGGCTAGACACAGAATCCATTAGTTTTCTAAACCTTAATGAGATAAGTTTCTTTCAAAACAAAGTCATATTTGAACAACACATAGGATCCAGACAGTTGGTACCTGTGTAATCAGCTATACTAGCAGCCACCTTTTCTGCAAATCCTTTCCTGGCATTGAGTCCTGTACCCACTGCTGTTCCACCTAATGACAGTTATTAAAAGGTTTTGACAGTTATTAAAAGGTTTTGACGATTATTAAAAGGTAATGATCAATATTAATAAAACATCTAAAAAAAACAATATTTCTTAAATTCTAAAAATAATTTTTCTGACATCTTCATCTGTTTACTCAACTACATGAAGGCTGCTATTTCTGTCAGTCAAGCTGCCTATTAATTTATGATTGTAATATCTAAACTTAATGATGACTTTATTATGTTGCACTCAGGGCTGAAAAAATCCAACAAAAATGATGCTGGAAAAATGAAATTCTTTTCTTTTTAACTTACCCAATGCAAGCTCAAGCAGTCTGGGGAATGTTGATAAAACTCTGTCTTTCCCATATTTGACTTGCTGTAAGTACGCACTAAACTCTTGTCCTAATGTTAATGGAGTTGCATCCTGGGAAATTACCATTTTCAAACATTTATTTCATTAGTACTAATAAATCTATTGAATGAAAGAAATATTTACAAACCAAGTTTAGTTGTCCTAACAGGAATGAATAAGACAATAACAAGATAGTCTACACTAGAACATTTGTACAACAATGAAGATAGATCATTAAAATCATGTTTATTTTAAGTTTTAAAGAATACAATGAATCATCTTGAGTAACCACACATTGCATTATTTTAAGCTGAGAGAGTAAATTACTCCGGTTTAATAAAGCAGTAATCATATGACATTGTTTTAAGTTTTAAAATACTATTCTGAAAACCTTGAAATTTAAAGTCATGAGGCGTAGATTTTTACAAAAATGTTGCTATAAAGAAAAATGCTTATGGCTAGACAAAAGGAGTAAACTGTTGAACAAGTAACACATTACTTCCCCTAGTTCGATATTAAAAAAAAATTAACACTTTTTTCTCAGGTGATCATAACCTATCAAGACAAATTTCTATGTAAAAGAAAATAATAATAAAGAAATGTAATACTATTAAATTTCATCTTAATAAAATATGTCATAATTTTGCATAATGGGTGAGATGCAAAACTAATTGCCATACAATTAATCGTTGATAAGTTAAATGTCCTTCACCTAGGTTCCGAAAAAAAGGGTTAACTAAAACCATGTTAATATTGAAAAATCTAGAACATAATGTAAAAATTTGGCCATAATTATATTGAAATGCAATGACTCAACAGCTTAAAGAGAAGCTGTACAGGCGTATAGGTCTACTAGATTTAAAATAAAAACAGCCCCTTGTTACATACTTGTAAATGAGTCCGTCCAATTTTGATGATGTCCTGAAACTCTTTTACCTTGACCTCAAGGGCAGAAGCCAACAGATCCATTGCTGGCAGTAAACTGTTACTCACCTCCATTGCTACAGCTACATGCATGGCTGTAGGGAAGGCATCATTGGAGCTCTTTAAAAAGAAAATATTATTTGTTTTTGAATTGCTGAATTAAAATGTTTATTGATCATTGAAAAAGTAAAGTAAATATGTTATTGTTTAGTTCTACCAGCCTGGCCCATATTTAGATGAGAAAAACTTAGAATATCAAAATGTTATTGTGTAGTTGTACCTGGCCCATATTTAGATGAGAAAAACTTAGAATATCAAAATGTAATTGTGTAGCTGTACCTGGCCCATATTTAGATGAGAAAAACTTAGAATATCAAAATGTAATTGTGTAGCTGTACCTGGCCCATATTTAGATGTGAAAAACATAGAATATCAAAATGTAATTGTGTAGCTGTACCTGGCCCATATTGAGATGAGAAAAACTTAGAATATCAAAATGTAATTGTGTAGCTGTACCTGGCCCATATTTAGATGAGAAAAACTTAGAATATCAAAATGTAATTGTGTAGCTGTACCTGGCCCATATTGAGATGAGAAAAACTTAGAATATCAAAATGTAATTGTGTAGCTGTACCTGGCCCATATTGAGATGAGAAAAACTTAGAATATCAAAATGTAATTGTGTAGCTGTACCTGGCCCATATTGAGATAAGAAAAACTTAGAATATCTAAATGTAATTGTGTAGCTGTACCTGGCCCATATTGAGATGAGAAAAACTTAGAATATCAAAATGTAATTGCGTAGCTGTACCTGGCCCATATTGAGATGAGAAAAACTTAGAATATCAAAATGTAATTGTGTAGCTGTACCTGGCCCATATTGAGATGAGAAAAACTTAGAATATCAAAATGTAATTGCGTAGCTGTACCTGGCCCATATTGAGATGAGAAAAACTTAGAATATCAAAATGTAATTGTGTAGCTGTACCTGGCCCATATTGAGATGAGAAAAACTTAGAATATCAAAATGTAATTGCGTAGCTGTACCTGGCCCATATTGAGATGAGAAAAACTTAGAATATCAAAATGTAATTGCGTAGCTGTACCTGGCCCATATTGAGATGAGAAAAACTTAGAATATCAAAATGTAATTGTGTAGCTGTACCTGGCCCATATTGAGATGAGAAAAACTTAGAATATCAAAATGTAATTGTGTAGCTGTACCTGGCCCATATTGAGATGAGAAAAACTTAGAATATCAAAATGTAATTGTGTAGCTGTACCTGGCCCATATTGAGATGAGAAAAACTTAGAATATCAAAATGTAATTGTGTAGCTGTACCTGGCCCATATTGAGATGAGAAAAATTTAGAATATCAAAATGTAATTGTGTAGCTGTACCTGGCCCATATTTACATGGTCGTTTGGATGAACTGGAGACTTGGACCCCATAGCACCACCCATCATCTCAATTGCTCTGTTACTTATCACTTCATTGACATTCATGTTGGTTTGTGTTCCTGATCCTGTTTGCCAAATAACAAGTGGAAAACTTGCATCTAGTTTACCTGATATAACCTAAATTAAAAAATTAGATGCAATTAGTGTTAAAATAAAATCAATTTTTAAAAGTAATAAAATGCATGTATTACTATTTACTTATTAGTATTTTAAAAAAAATTTTTTTAGTCAAATTGTTTCAACCATCCTAATATATATAAGCCCATGTGCGCACTTCTCTCTCTCTCTGCAAGTTTTTTTAGTCGATGTGACCAGTATGTTCAGCAATACATGGAGAACTTAAAGATACGGACTTTTGCTGAAAATATTATTTAGATCTATAGATCTACCTATCAAGACATATGCTATGAAATGTATACAATTTTCTAGGCCAAAAGTAATACAAATTACTTTAAAAAACAACATAAATACCATTAAACAGTGTTTTTAACTAAATCATTTAAGTCTCTTGATCAGTGTGTGCATTTAATATGGTGTTTTTTTTTAGCTATTTAGTTATTACTTTGATTTTAAATGTGCTGGATTTTTAGCTATTTAGTTATTTCTTTGCTTTGTCACTAATATCTAAACGTGTATCTTTGTGTTTTGACCAATAACTATTTTATAAATTATTTTTTTCCAAATATGTATAACATCAAAAATATATAGGCCTATAATTCACGTGTAATGGGTACCAACAGGTACCGACGGCTAGTTACAAAAAGAAAAGCCAACTTAGGCCAGTGTGTCTGAATGTATGTGGCCAGGGAAGCTGACATGAAGGAATGATGTGATTAAATCTCAACTTGAACCAGAACTAGATAGACTGAGAGATCGAATAGACTGGTCAGGAGACACACTTAATTCTTTTGGGCTATCTATAATTATGTGTACAATAATTCAGACAAGCTTTTTTGCTTTTTTATTTAATTGCAGTGAATGCAACCTTAAAACTCCCTCATGGTACAAGTACTGGGAAAATCTTTTTGCAACACAATTTTGCTCACCTCGTCAGCAGCTTTTACTATGTGTTCAGCTATATCCTTGCTTAGACCATACTCAATGTTCACTTGTGCAGCACAACGTTTTAAAATACCAAATGCACGAATAATTGCCAGCTGAGAAAAAAATATTAGTTACCATTATAATTTCAACACTAGTAGATCTACATTTTTAAAAAGTGGATAACAAAGAGGATAAAAAAGTAAAGTAATGAAAAAAGTTATTGTTATATTTATTATACCAATCAAACTCAGAGAAATTACAATATTCCCTTACTGGCATTATCTCAGTTTGTCCTCCAATGTTGAAGTTAATGAGTGATCTTGCAGTATTGGCCCCATAATACACATCTACAGGGACAGCAATGTCTCCAAAACTGTCTGCTTCTATCCGTACATCTTTCTAAAGGAGCAAACCATTGTTATCAACAATGCATCACATGGTATCCAAAAAGATCTAGAACTAGTAACTAGACTCTAGGTTAGTATGTAGCATTAGAACAAAGGGAGATAATTTTCATACAAAAAACCTACCCATAGCCCTGGACTGATATTTCAAATTTTGTTTTTTTTACCACTGTCTCTTATTAATTTTAAATTAATTTCATATTAATTTCCAATACACAAAGCAACCATATTTTCAAAATCTACTGAGGTTCAGCTATAACCTAGTGCAATGGACACGAGCGAGAAAACTCTCAAAGGTATTTGAGAGGTGTATAAATTAGTTTAAAAATCAGGCACGGCGTAGTTACAATTAATATGGTTATAAAATCCTGTCTGTCTGGTTTATTTCGGACTTTACTAAAGATTGGTTCTATTTGATGTTTTAAAAATTTTCGGTAACTAATTGAAAATTTAAAAACAAGCCAAAACAATTTGGTTTTCACGTGTAATGGCGACATAAACAATGGCATCCTGCTATTGGATAGGCCGACATTGATTTTATTGTACACATTGTAAGCTAAAAATAGAAAACTAGGTCATGGGGTTTTTAATTTGCATTGTTATTTAAAAACTTGATCTGCAAAGTTTTGTAAACAAATAGTTATCGATCACTAAGTTACTGTACAGCCAATCAATATTTGTCTTACGAAAGTGAAACATCCGGTTTTAACTTAGGCTTGATGAAAATAAATAGAAATGTAGCCTTAAACTCAACAAATTTTTTTCAAGTTCTCTGGATTTACAACTTTTATAGCATTTATTCTAAAAATATAAAATTTCTAAATTAATTTTAGGCTTAAGTTTTTATTTTTTATTTTTTTTTACGGTCTAAATCTAAAAAGCACGTTTTTATTCCATGACAACAACACTATGGAAGGAATCTCGTCAACTCGATTGTCTCCATTACTTTTAATTTTCTTTCATTTTTGCCAATAAAAAAAAAAATTTAAATTAATTTGAAAACAATATATTTATATGCTCTAAAGCAACTTTATTTTAATATATAAAAACTTGCCTGCACAAAAAACTATACAGCATGAGTTAAATAAACCACTTGTGGTTCTTATTTTATAAAGAAATTGTGATTTGAAATTGTGATTTAATTTTTTATGAATTTTTTAAGATTCAGACCTTTGTCGCCCATGTTGAATGTTGTTTTTTCCTATATAAATAGTCATAGTAAAAATGTACATTTTTTTAAATAAAGCATACCATCAAACAGTAACAAGCCTGCACAATTATTATGCAAATTTACATAAAAGAACCACCACTGTTTCATAATTTATCATTAGAATTCAAAAAATGTGTGCAAACATTTTATAAAATTTTCATTTTTGTTTCCCACTTGTTTCATTTTTTTACAGAGTTTATACAGTTTATAAATTATATTATATAAGTTATAAGACCACACATTTTAAATAGAAAAAAAACTATTTCTCCTCTCCTATTAAAGCTAGAAATATAAATTTGGTACCCATGGAGGATAATTATAGATACCTGAGTCTGATAATGGAATCTTCTTTAATAAACCGGGAGAGATCTCCCCTAAACTTTCTCGAATATTCTAATATAACTTGGAATATAGACATGATTTTTAATTACTTAAACTTTTAAAAATAGAATAGAATCCCATTAGAAAAAAGAATTGCGCACCAAGCGAATGCCAAAACAAAATGTGCATAATAGTGCACAATATTATTAGTACTTTATTAATTTACATGCGTTTTTTGAGAAATCGGAAATAGCGTAATTTAGTACTTCCGGTCAACGGAAATTACTCAAAATTTGACAGAAGGTAGAGAATTAGATCTTTTACTTACATTAACTTACATGTGCAATTTCATTTATCTATCTGAAACAGTACTCAAGTTATAGGCTTTTGAAAAATTCAAAGTAGAAAAAGTACCACTTCTGGTTATCAGAAATAGCTCAAAAGTTGATACGGATCTACGATTTTGATAAAATACTTATATATGAAATTTCATCAACCTAGCTGTAACAGTACTCAAGTTATCGTGTTTACACACAGACAGACACACACACAGACAGACACACAGACATACGGACAAGATTGCAAAATTATGTTTTTCCGTATCAGTGAGGTGTAAAACGTCGAGATTTGTAAAAATCTCGATTTTTTTTTTGTACGATTACAAGACTTTCTCTATACTTCGTATATACGAGAAAGTAAAAAGGGGTGTTTGGTTGTTAGTAGTATTGTAATCTTGACTAATTTTATGGTTAGAAATTAGGGTTAAGCCTAATTACGGTTAGGAATATGGCAGGACCAGGGTTGGGGACAGGGTTAGCATTGACATTAGCCAGCCATGTGTCACGTGTGTATTTACTATTTATTTAGTTACTACAGTAATCATTAACATTAACCTAACATCCTTTTTTTAAAGAAGATCCCATTACAACTGTGTAAACATTCGGTAATTTATCGTTTTGGGTACGTAAAATCGCCCGCGACTAGTAATGTGAAAAACAGGGGACTCCTTAAATTTTAATAATTATTATTTAAAAATTATTATTATTATAAAAATTATTATTTTTAATAATTATTTCACATTTTGAGGAGCATTTATATTTTGAAAAATACAAAAATGTTTCCTTGTTTCATTTATGCACCTGTTTTTTAAACATTGAATTAAAACTTTTCAGTAATAAACGAAGACTGGCGATTTTTCCAACAGATGCAACCATGCTCATGTACTATAGCAGCCTTCTTGTCTAAGTTTTTTTGTAAACTTATAGCGCGAGATTCAGGGAAAGCCACTCTATTTTACAAAAGGCTGCTGTTTATATAGCATATCTTACTCGCAAACATTGCTGTTTAAAGTTAATTTCTGACCCATATTGATATATTTAGCCATTGATTTAGGTTTATTATTCATTTATGTACAATATTTGACACAAATATATCACAATATACTTCTATTAAAGCCTTGACAATTAGGCAACTTTTTCGTACATTCGAAGCCGCAGGCGATTTTTAGACGTACCCAAAGCGATAGATTACCAAACATTCTCCCCCAATGGAATTCTTAATCCTTCCTCTAAGTAACTAAACTAATAGATTCTAACTCATGTGATATTTTTGGGATAAAATACTCAAAAATTAATTTAGTATGCTACAACCTACTCTAGTCTAGTCTAGACGACTAGAGAGGCAGACTAGACTTAGTAAGTTAGTAGAGTTTAGAGTACTTTAGTTAGACTTTAGAGGTAGATCTAGATCTAGAAATCTAGATTAGCTACTTTTTTAGAGTCTAGAATCTAGACTAGTAGTAGATCTAGATTCTAGTTAGTAGTAGTCTGAGTAGGACCTGAGTAGAAAGTACCTACTCAGTAGCCTCAGTAGGTGCTTTCTAGATATCTAGATCTACTTTCTACCTCCTAGCTAGATCTAGATTAGTAGCTAGTTACTAGCTAGGCTAGGCATAGCACATTGCCTTGTATTGTAATAAAAGTTAATAATTTTAATTAGATCTAGCTAGATCTAGATTTAATCAAAATAAGAAATTACTTTGTTTTCCATTTTGGGTTATAATCGTGATTGAAAATTCGCTTGATTTCGTCTAGTTTTTAAGTCTAGAATCAAGTCTAGAAAATAGAAATTGTGTTCAATGCTACTTTCGTTTTCGATAACGGATGTTGGTAAAATGCGAGACGCGAATAGCTATGCGGTAAAAAAAAAATCCGAGAAGAAAATGAGACAGGTTTCTTCCTGACTTTTTTCTCCGGGGGTGCAGAGTTTCTTCCAGGCATCTCTTTGGGGGGACGGGGGGGGGGGGGGGGGAACGAAGCCCCCCCCCCCCGAACGAAATGAAATTTATATAATTTATATAGAAAATATATACTTTTAACAGTGTCCGCCCCCCCCCCCTCCAAAGAAAGTCTACCGCCCCCCCCCCCCCCCCCGAAAATTTCAAGTGCCCCCCCCCCCACGGAGAAAAAAGTCTGGAAGAAACACTGCGGGGTGCACTTGAAATTTTTTTTGGGGGGGGGGGGGGGAGCGGACAACTATTTTCGGAGGGGCGGACACTGTCAAAAGTATATATTTTCTATATAGGGGGTCGTCTATAAATGACGTCACACTCGTAGGGGGGGAGAGGGGGGTCTGTAATTTTGTGACGGTGTGTGATGAGGGGGAGGGGGGGGGGGGGTGTTCAGATGGTGTGACGTCACACTTTTGCATTATAAAAGAGCAATGTTAGAAAACGAATTTTAGCCGTTATTTCGCGTTTTAGAAAACTGTTTTAATAAATTATACTAGGAATTGATTAAAATAATATAATATATATTAAATATATGTTGACAGAGTTCAGACAAGATTTTGGAAAATATCGTCTTTTAAGAAAAATTCAACTGCGATTTTGAGGGGGGCGGGGTTTGTAGGCTGAGGTGTGACGTTATTTTAGGGGGGGGGGCTTTTTGTGACTATGACGGAGGGGAGGGAGGGAGGTAAAAATCGTCCAAAAAAGCGTGACGTCATTTATGGACGATTCCATTTCGTTTGGGGCGGTAGACTCTCTTTTTAGGGGGGGGGGAGCGGTGTAGACATGTAGGCCTAAAAGACCGCCCACGTTTAATTGTCAGCGAGAGAAAAATATTGAGTCATTGACCTAGGGGTATGTTCACGGTGAGTTCACTTTAGTTCACATTGATATCAGTATGCTTAATATAGCAATAGCCTGTAGGTAAATGTCAAAGCGTGACCATTCTATTTGAAATTGTCGCACGCAGTACTCTGTTTTCCCAAACCCGAGCAAAATGAAAACATTATTTGTGTCAATGTAAGTTCACATGAGACATGGCCAGTGACGTCCTCCATGAGATAAGCGGCTAGGGACGTTGACTATTTGGCTAGTGACGCCCTCCATCAGACAAATGGCTAGTGACGTCCTCCGTGATACAAATGGCTAGTGACGTCCTCCATTATACAAATGACGTCCCCCGGGAGGCAAGTGAGACAACTCCATTAATATTTGGACATAAATAACCTAGCTTGGTTAAATCCCCTTACAAAGGAAAAAGCGCTAAATTAATGATTTAATAAAAAAAACATCGGGGTGGGGGTGGAAGGTAGGAGCAGTAGCGTACGCAGGGGGGGGGGGGGGAGCAGGGGGAGCGGCCGCTCCCCCTCTGGCCATTTTCTGTAATAGATTGAAATAATTGTGAGGTCAAGGGAACTCACTCTTCTGTATTAGTTATATTTATAATATTGTTATCTTGAGTGATGTCCCTTGTGTACTTCCTTCCGTCCTCTCTGTGTGTTACCATCGTGAGGTAGTTAGACCCATTAAATGTGTTATATACAACCACAGGCTTCTGTCGTCAATCTATTATAACTGGCGACGAAGGATAAACATCTACTAGAAAGAGCACCTACTTACGCAAAAAAGAGGTTTGCTAGAGCTTATTAGCTAATTATTTCTAGAATAATGGCGCTGTATGGCCAAATAAATCAATTTGATGCGAATGATGAAATCATTCAAGATTACCTAGAGAGGTTAAGCTTTTACCTAGAAGCTAACGACGTGACGATAGAAGCCAAAAAGAGAGCTACTTTGTTAACAGTCATAGGGCCTCAACAATTTAGGCTACTAAAGGACTTATGCACACCAGCTAGTCTAACTACCAAGAGCTTTAACGAGCTGAGCAAATTGCTAACAGACCACCATGCGCCTACCCCATCAAAATTTTTATGTAGAGCTAGATTTGACAGTAGGACTCGTCAACCAAACGAGTCAATATCAGAATATGTTGCTGCCTTACGTCATTTAAGTGAATTTTGTGAATTCGGAGACACGCTGTCTGACAGATTATGTGAAAAGTTTGTGACAGGTGTAAACAGCCCTGATATTCAAAGAAAGTTGCTGCTCGAGTCAGATCTAACATTAGAAAAAGCAATACAACTTGCAACTTCAATCCAGCAGTCATCAGATGCGGCGAAATCTCTAACGCCTTCAGGGATCCATGCAGTAAACAGCAGGTTAGTCAATAAACATCAACCCCAACAGAGCATTCCAACTTATGCTAAACAGCCTGCTCGTTCAAATCCTAGATCTAAATCTAGTAATAATTATCAAAAATGTCATCGATGCAAAGGTCCCCATGCATCTCATCGATGCAAGTTCAAGTTAGCAACTTGTTATAAGTGCGGTAAGCAAGGTCACATTGCCAAGGCCTGCTTTGCAAAGTCTTCGTCTGCTGCTAAATCTAGCCAGTCAAGACAGTACCGCAACCAAAAGCAGCACTATGTTAACTCTCACCAAGACTACCTAACTCAACCAATGAACCACTCTACCTGTGAAAATGCTCAAACTGATTCGCAGCCGGATTTCAGCCTGTTCTCTGTGAAATCAATAAGTCATGCTCCCATCAATGTACCAGTTAATATCAACGGTAAGAGCATCAGCTTCCAACTTGACACTGGAGCATCTCTAACAGTCATAACAAAGAAAGATTTTGACGCTGTCGCAGGAGGATCAGTGTCTCTACAGCCGTGTCACAAGTGTCTAACAACATACACTGGTGACAATGTTCCGGTAATAGGAGAGTGTATGGTTCATGTAAGTTATAATGGTCAAAGTGTTAAACTTCCTCTTCTTGTGGTTGAAGGAAATGGACCGCCATTACTAGGTAGGAACTGGTTAAGTGATCTTAAGTTAAATTGGGAGAGTATTTGTTCATTGAAGAATGTAAAAGAATCTAGTCTTACTTCACTAGATAAAGTTATATCTGAAAATAAATGTGTTTTTGGTAATTCAGGTTTACTAAATGATAGAACAGTGAAGTTAAGCATTAAAGATACAAATCCAAGATACTGCAAAGCTAGAGTTCCACCTTATGCAATGAGGAACAAAATTGAAAATGAGCTAAGTAGATTGGAATCTAATGGCATCATAAAGAAGGTAGACTATTCCGATTGGGCGACACCCATTGTGCCAGTGTTAAAGAAGGATGGTTCTATAAGAATTTGTGGAGATTATAAAACTACACTGAATAAGCAAATAGAGCTAGATAGGTACCCTATACCTAACATTGAGGAAATTTCTTTGAATTTGGCAGGAGGAGACAAATTCAATGAATTAGACTTTAGTCATGCTTACACTCAACTAGAACTGCATCCAGATTCAAAAGTCTATACGACAATAAACACACATAAAGGACTCTACCAATATGAAAGACTATGTTTTGGCATATCATCTAGCCCTGGAATTTTCCAAGCTGTCATGGACAGTATTTTTAAGGATATTCCAAATGTTTGTGTGTACTTTGACAATGTGTACATAACTGGTAAGAATGACACTGAACATCTTAAAACACTTGATAAAGTATTAAAAATTGTTGGTGAAAAAGGTTTAAAGATAAACAAAGATAAATGTCAATTCATGCTGACAGAAATTAGTTTTCTTGGTTATATATTGAGCAAACAAGGCATCAGACCTCAACCTGAGAAAACAAAAGCCATTAAAGAAGCACCCAAACCTGAAAATACCCAACAACTAAGAGCTTTTTTGGGCTTGATAAATTACTATGCAAAGTTCATGGGAAATCTGTCTGGTAAACTATCACCACTGTACAAGCTGCTACAGAAAAATGCAACTTGGCACTGGGGTAAACAACAAGAAGCTGCTTTTAATACAGCAAAAGAGGCTTTGTCTGCTGACACCTTACTAACTCACTATGACCCAGGGAAAAGACTTGTATTGACATGTGATGCTTCACCAGATGGTGTAGGAGCAGTCTTGTCCCACATGGATGAGAAGGGTGACAGACCCATTGCTTTTGCCAGTAGATCTTTGAACCAGGCTGAGAAAAATTATTCTCAGTTAGATAGGGAAGGCTTAGGCATCATTTTTGGTGTTAAGAAATTTCATAAGTTTCTGTTTGGTAGGAAGTTCACCATCTTTACAGATCATAAACCATTGCTAGGTTTATTTGGAGAAAACAAAACCCTACCTGAGCATGCCTCACCAAGAATTCAAAGATGGGCTATCACACTAACTGCATACAATTATGAATTGAAATACAAACCTGGATCTGAGAATAGTGCAGATAGTCTTAGTAGATTACCTTTAAAAAACCAAAGCCTGAGCTATGTACCAGAAGATGTATTTGTTCTCTTCACTATCATGGATAACTCCAATATAAATGTGAATGATATTAAAAGAGAAACACAAAAAGATGAGTGCTTAATAAAAGTATATGAGTACTGTATGAATGGTTGGCCTGAAGAGTCTGTGAATGATGACTTAAGGCCATATTAAATAAGAAATAAAAACCTTTGTGAAGATAATATAAAAGATGGAGAAGATGCAGTCCATTATCAGTCAGAGTTGCCTAAACAAAGTATTTGTAACTTAATAAATGATTATGGTGATATGGCAATTTCAAATGCTTTAAGTAAGAAGGAATGTGATCATCAAACAACTTTGCTAACATCATTAGCACTTACAGAAACTAAAAGGGTAACATCAAAAGAAGAAAAAGATTTTTGCCATTTAATACACCCACTTCAAATACTGGATCACAGTTGTAAAGTGATATTGTCCAGGATATTACTTTTAAACAGTATTTTTGGTTACCAGGAAAG